GTATTTCTAATGTATGTAGGATCAGTAATAAATATCTTTAAGGGAGTAAATAATTTTTGGTATTGTTATTCTTCTTATTAAAGGCTTCCTTTAGATTTTAAAAAACCTTGTCGAAATTTCTCTCTGTGTACTAATCAAGGGAGGAACCAACGACACCCTGAAACAAGAAGAGGAACAGGAATAGGAACAGCTCCCTGGTGCAATAGCCAGGGCTCCAGTTCAACTTCAACCTCAACCTCCGATTGTAGCCACCATATGGGGGCGAAAATCAATGTCCGTTATGTGAAATGAAGTGTAGCTCAAAAAAAAAACAGGAATGCAATTAGGGGATATTCCCTTTAGAGGAAAATGAATATTCATTAGACTATGAAAATAAAATTATTCAAATGTCTTAAAGCTTTCAACCCATTTAAAAGGTAGTTTCAGCTCTAGCAATTCTTGTTCTTAAAAGATTACGAAATTATGTTAATTAAGAGAAAGCCTCTAAAACGAGAAAAGTGGCATACCAATTTCAAAGTGAACGTCAAGGGTAGTTAACATCTTGATTAGAGCCATGGTATTTAAGTAATTCTTAATTACTTTTAAATGGATTTTCTTTTTGAAAAACAAAATTAATCTGGATTTCTGAATAAGATAAAACCTTGTAGGATATATATAAGCATGGCAGGGCTTCCCCCAATTTGTTACCTTTATTCAGTGCCCTTTGCTAAAATAATTGATTTATCGACGCAACTGATTGCAGCTGTAAATGCATGGCAGTAACTGCCATAATGGCAACAACAAGTCCGAAATTATAGCCAAGCTTGATGGAAATACGTAAACATTGCAGGCCGAGTCGCATGCGCCGAAAAGTGAGCTACACATTTTGTTTGATATCTCTCCGCTCTTTCTCTTGTGTGCGTGTGTTGCTGTGTGTGTGTGTGTGTGTTAGCCACGTTCAACAAGTGCATGTCGCTCTCCCGATTTGCCCACCTCTCTCTCACCCACTCTCTTCCTCTGGCTTTTCCTCGGAAAAACTGATTTAATAAGCGCGTGCGAAAAAGCCCTTCGATTCCACGCCGAATGGTCAGTGTTCTGGGCCTGGTTTTTAACCCTTGATTGCCGCCTGCACGCATGACAAAATAATTAGAGTCCCCGAAAATTCGCAAGTTCCTCGAACAGGGAGTCTAATCATATTAGAGCTATTGATTTTTTTGCCAACCTCCTCCAACTTATTTCCCAACTTGTTTTCTAGATGACATAAGCGCCACGTCGCCAGTGGCCAGTGATAAGGTGAAACCCGCACCGCCCACTCCGCCGGAAGTTGCCAGGCGTGCGGAAATCAATTTGCAGCCGGAGACAGGAGCATCCTCGGATGCGCCGACGACGCCGCAGGAAACTACTGGTGGTGATCCAATAATCGAGGCGGGCGACGAGCAGCCAGGACATGCGGTAAGCGGTGAATGAAATCGAATTAGCGTCGTCGGGGCGGGAAAAATTGCAAATTAAAGCTGCAGGTGCGGCGCAGTACTAATTAAGAGGGAATCAGTTGAGGGGGTGTATCCTGCCATCCCGCCATCCTGCCATCCCTCCATCCTGCCGGGATAAATTAGGCCAACAATCGGTGCCTGATAATGACAGCCGCCCACAAGAGGAGCACTCATCACCAGCCATCCTGGCCAAAAAAAGAGAAGGCCAAAAGCAAAATGCGTTTAGCTCCATCGACCGGCTTTACTCGTGGTGAAAACTCAGGGGGTTCTCCGTCGGAAAACCTGAGAGAAAGCACGGGAAAAGCTCTCGGAGAGAGAGTGGCCACGGCCGGAAGCCTTCTTACAGGGTGTCCCGGCCGTACACAAAAAAAGGGGCGCCTATTGATTTTTGGGGCGCTACGTTGAACTTCACCCGGCTGGTTGGTTGGATGGATGGTTGGCTGGCTGGCTGGCTGGATGGGATTGGAGCTGGTTGGGAGGAGGAGAGAAGGTGGCTCTTTTGGGGGTTGCCTGGTAACACGAGCTGCCATCAGCGAGCACGCGCCGGCCAGCTGGCGGGGAATGGAGATGGAAATGGGACTGGGATTGGGAGTGGGGTATAGAGAATCCAGGGGGAGACTGGCAGCTCAAGTGCCCGCCACTTGAGCGTAACAACTTTGCCGCTGCAAAACGGCTTGGAAAAAAAACTAAATCGATTTTTTTGCCTACCACTTGCAACAGCAGCAGCAGCAACATCCTGTGGCGAATGCGAATAGCTGGAGTCCAACGCCACGGCGGCCGCGCACTCCGCCGGCACCACAGAACTCGCCAATTGGTTTTGGCCAGAATGCGACTGTGCCACCTGCCCTGGCTCCTCTGCTCCAGCAGCAGCAGCAGCAACAACAACAACAGCAACAGCAGCAGTTGCAGTTGCAGCAGCAACAGCAGGCGGGCAACATCAAGCGAAGTGCATCTGCTGCTAGAAATCGCAACAGCAACAACCGCATCATCGAGTGCGATCTCATTCCGAGCAAGAAATCAAAACGAAAGGCGGCCAAAAAGGAAGCCGGCGGCAGCGAGAACTTGGAGGCTGTGGAGCCCATCGTAAGGGAACAAATTAGGGTGAGTTGTGGGATCGTTTATATTATGATTTGAGTAACACCTGATTATATTGGAAATAAATATCTTATGGTAAAAATACAACATACATATGTGTGTAGATAAAATGTATTTATTTTCAAATGAGTAAAGGTTCCTTTGTGTAAAAATAGTCAAAATAGAAATGTTTGCTTTTAAATTAAAATGATTTTAACAACAATTACACACATCAAGGTTCCATTTACTTTCAAATTATTAAAAATACCATAAATTCGAATAATTTAATTTTGATAAAAATATATTTAACAGACTTATTCAAAATGTATAAATATTTATTATAAAAATTCGAACTTTAAAATTAAATTTTTGAAAATGTTTTAAAGTTTTATTTAATTGATGATGAAATTCGAGGCCAAATATAATAATAAGAATACAACTTGATTAAAAATCTCAAGTCCTAACTAAAAATGTACTTCATTTTCCTTAACTTAGAAGAGTTTTAATGTAAAAAAAAAAAATTCAGAACTTAGAACTCACTATAATTCAATGATTAAAACTATAGGCTTAGAATCCCAAAACCTCCACTAAAAATATCGTTCAAATCCCCGCAGGACATCAAGCCCTTGCCGGGTTTCCTGCAGGCCTTCGGCTCCACCGAAATCGGGCGCTTTTCCGAGCGATTCCTGCAGACGCCCGAGTCGCTGGTGGAACGATTGGCCGAGGAGTGCGCAGCCAGTACGCCCAGCAATTTCGCATCTCACCCAGCTGGAGGCTACATCGATCCCCCGGCCACGCCCACACCCAGCCACTATGCCTACGAGGAGCAGAACCAAGGCGGCTATGCCAGGAATCGAATGCGGGGCTACGGTTACGAGATGCCGGACTACATGGCGTATGAGCGATATGCGGCCTACGGAGCCGGCAGACCAAGGGCTCGCTACGGGGAAATCCGCTGCAACGGCTACTAGGATGCGGTCCACCGATACCGATGTCGAGCGGATCTTATATAGCTTAGGGTTAGTGTTGTTGTAGTCGTGCATAGTCGTTGTCATTCGATATTCTCTGTGTGTGCCTTTTTCGGTCAAAATTGGACAATGGATTCCCCCGAAGAGTTGTTGTTGTCGGGGGCATTGTTAGCAATGAGTGCGTTCAAAATTTACCACAAGAAATTTAAAGAAAACAAAAGAAACAAGAAGCCAAAATATTGTTAGCAAACCATCTACATGTAAATGAATAATAATCAATTAAGTAGTTCAATGTATTTTAAATCGAAGTCGTTTTAAATCGATTCAGAATGTAAGTTGAAATCTTGTCCCACTGTACATAAATATGCATTTCGTATATGTAACACTAGATTTTAGTCAAACTACTTGGGCAGTTGGTAATGGGATCTAAAAAGTTTTCGAGGTCTCCAGGTGTTGGGAGACGTTTTTTCTCAACTTCAACGTAAATGTAATGAACACTCAAAATTGTTAACAGCACCGTTTCCATACGGAAACCATTTTTTTGGGGCACAAAATTCCAAAATCACCCCGACAAAAATCAAATAAAACAGAGCAAAAATCTTACACTTAGCAAAAAGATGTGCCATTGAAAAATATATTTAATTGAAAACACCACAATTTAGGAATTACGTTTATGTACAATACAAATACAAATTAAAGATTAGCTACGGTAATCTAAAGCCAGATAGTTAATGTTAAAGCAATGCACTACATTTTAGTCTAGGGCACAGATACACACATACACACTGATACAGATACACCCATACAAAGACACACTCGAACCACCGCACTAATTTGTACTTGGCAAAATTGATTTATTTTCTATCGATTTACTAACAACCTATTCATTTTCGAATCGATTTCTTTGTTGTATTGAGTGCCTTAATTTACTTGAATTCATTTCCAATATCTGTGCGTGAACAAATAAACGTAACGAATTTGTATGATTTACTTGTAGAGAGACAACCAAGTTCAGGTTTCAAAGGGGCCCAACAAAATTTCAAATGCAAATCGAACAAATCAATGAAGACAAAAAAGACAACCGAATTACCAAAAACGGAAAAAAAATCCAAACACATCGAGCGACATTCAAAAATGTTTAATAGCGATTTAAAAACTAGTTAATATGTAAAGAAACTACTCACCAACAAAAAACACAAAGAGGAAGAAAACCTTGTAGCGTTGACATTTTATGCCAACTAAGTATTTGGAAGTCTTCGGTAAAAAGAAGGAACAACAACCGAGGACGAAATGAAATAAACCAAGTATTTAGTATAATTAAGTCCGTGTGTAAATAAATATTTGAAAGTTTGAATTTTATGAAATAAATCACGCAAAACGATTAGCAAAGGATGTTGGCAAACAAAACGCTGACTTGTTGTTGTTTACATGTTGGGACTTTTGTTTTTAACTGTTTTATTCGTTTAATTAATTTATAAATATTATAACATAACCTAGAAGTTGTTTATTGTTTTTATCATTTTGTGTGGGTTTGTGTGTTTAAATTAATTACAAAAATAGTTCAGTTGTAAGAAGAGCAGAATCGTAGTAATAATAATAGTGTTTAGAATTTAGTTGAGCGGAAACGAAATAAGGATACGAAGTCTCCTGGGCTCCCAAATGAGCGAAATATAGGCTTACAAACTAAACAGAAGCATCGTAAATAGTTAGGAGCTGGTAGCTGGTGAAAACACATACAACTGAGCGACTGAGGGATAAATAGTTTATAGGTGAGGGGTGAGGATTGCGGAGTTGGCTACAATTTTAGTACAATTAGCTGGTTTTATCGCTTTGCGTCTGCTTTATATACGCATCGATCATTGGATCTCGGTAATAATTAGTTATAAATAATTAGTTTATGTATTATATATCAATTAATGTCCGCCGCTCCTCACTTCCTTCGTAGGCCGAGGGACGCAACTCCGTCCGTGTCTTGTTTAAGGTGCTGGTGCAGGAACCTCGGCGAAGCCTCCCGCAATCATGACGAGGATGCCGCCGACGAGTTCTTAGTGGAGCTTCCACCTCCACCGCCGCTGATGCAGTTGCGCTGCTTCTCAATGTACACGTTGAGCAGCCTCACCTTGCTGGGATTCAGCACGGACAGCTTCGGTTTGACCTTCTCCTCACCCAGGACAAAGTACAGCTTGACGATGCAGAAGACCGCCGCCTTTCGCACCATAGACTGCATGTCGTCCGCCGATCGCGCCAGATTCGGGAACACAATGTCCAGGTGGGCGTCCGTGATCTCCGTGCCATGGTGCTCGGTCACCTCCAGCAAGATCTTGATGGCGCACAGATTGGTGGGGAACTCGCCCGTCGCAATCACCGGATTGACAATGTTGATAGACAGGTCCAGTGGCAGAGATGGTGCTATCCTTGGTATCATCGAGTCAATTTCCCGCAAAGCCTCCTTGCTGTGCTGATAGCACTGGATGATCTTCAGCAGAATCAGCTCCAGGAAATGCATCCAGTTGTGCCGCATCTTGTTGCTGCGCATGATCTTGCTGAGCACATGCAGACCGGCTATGACCACGTCCGTGTGCTCTGCCTCTAGAATGTTGAGCAGCATTCGCATGATCGATCTAAAGTGCTTGTTGGGCAGCTCACAGTTCCCGCCCTTGATGCAGATCCCGAGGTTTGTTAGCGACGTCTGCAGCAGCTCCACGGGTTGGTCTTTCGTTAATGTCAAGGCCACACGCACCACCTCGCTTTCCATCAGGTCGCTAGGCAGGATCAATTCACCATTCTCCGCCATGCTTAGCGACACCACGTGCACCTTGGCATCGCCTGTTGGCTGTGGCGACTTGGCATTCTGGGTGGCTCTATCCCGATCCAGGTTATCTAGACGCATGGTGGCCGACTCCGGAGTATTCGACTGCGTGGTGTTGGCCGACGACTGCGTCTTGGAGTTGGAAGACAAAGAGGCACACGAGTCTTGCTGGCCCTGATCGTGATACTGCAGGTGTCCATTAAAGCCATTGGGCGCCAGCGCCGTCTGGTACTGGCCGCCGAAGCAGTGCCGGATCTCCTCCGACGTCTTTTGAATGTTGTGCTGAATGTCCAACTCCGAGGAGAAGAGCAGCTCCTGCTCCACAGAGGACTGCCGCGAGCGGGGACTAGTGGAGCTCAGGCTGAGCTGGTGGTGGCTCTGGAGCGAGGCAAATGGACCCACAGAGGGACTTTGCAGGGGCTTGGGACTGCTACTGCTCAATGGAGAGCTACTAGGCGAATTGGCACCCGAGTTGCCACTTTGGCTTTGCCGCCGCATGTGCGACTGGATGCAGGAGCGGGCCGAGTCCTGGTATCCCTTTGGCAGATTGGCCAACAGCCGGGTCATTTGCGGCGTGTTAAGGTTATAAAGGGCAACCAGGCAGCTCCTGGCCTGGGAGCGCAGTTCCATCGACTTCTGGTCCGCCGCCAACTGGGCCAGCTTAAGGACCGTTCGCTCGCAGGCCTGACTCTGGTCGCTAGGGAAGTCGCTGCTCTTGCAGTATGTGTTGGCCAAATCTGTGAGGAAGCGCAGGATGGCGATACGCGTCTTGGTTGTGGGCGTCTGCGTGGAGTCCGAGATGATCCTGAATAGCTCCTTGAGCTGCAACTGCGTTGGAAAGTACTCGTGAACCACCTGTAGCGTCTTCCAAATCTTGCTGTGCATCGAGTTGAGGAGGTCGGTGCCCAGTTTGTTGAACAATCGCGTCAGAAGGATGAAAAGCCAGTCGTGCAGCTCGGGCGCATGTACCAGAATCAGCTCAGTGACTGTGTCCAGGAATAGCGAGTAAACCTTGGTATGTGTGTCCATGAACATCTTGCGGAACATGTCCAGGACGCATTGCAACTGCTGCTGAGTGAGCTCCTTTCCATCGGCTAGATACTGTGTGAGACTGATCAGCCCATCTTTTCTTTCAGACCAATGCGTCGAGGCGCAGAACTGAATGATCGTCTCAATGTCGTCAAATGGCGCCCGCTGCGTGCTCCAGTCCAAACGGGTGTGGCTCCCGCTGAGCGAGTAGTTGGATTTATTGCCTCTAGTGTAGCTGGAGTCGAAAGATCGCTCTGAGCACACAGAACTGGCCTCGGAATCGATGTCATCGGACTCATCGCGACCCAGTAGCTTCCTGCCCATCCGCATTCCACCGCTGCGCATGTAGTCGCCGGACACGTAGTCCGGTTGTCCATCATCTGCGCCGCCTAGTGTGTGCTCCGCTTCTCGGGATTGCGCCAGAAGTCGAGCTGCCGCCGATGGTCTCACGGGGTTGTTCCTCTCAGGCGTTCGTCGGGATCCCGCTCCTGTGGAGTACATACTGCGCTTCATCAGGCCACCACCTGACCTAGTTGGACTCGTTTCCCTGGAGCTGGCTGTGCTTCGTGGTATTCCTGAGGCCTTCTTGGGTATGGCGCCAGTGGCTCCACGATAGTAGTTACTAATTCCGCCGTACTGATCCCGCAGCTTAGTGCTTGGAGAGGTGGAACGTGATCCTGGCTGTGATTGAGACACTCCTGCTCGTCCTCGGGGGCGTGGCGTTACCGATCCCGGCGTGGTGGCCGGCGTGCCACCGCTATTGGAATTTAGACGTGGCCTGGGGAGGGACCCACTGGCCGCTGCTCCTGTCATCGGTGCCTGCTGGGAATTGCTGGGACCCAGAGGCTTCCTTTGTCTTGAATAGAGTGTATATTGAGCCCTGGCTTTGGCTCTTTGGGCAGCAGCAGTGTCCACGGCCGAAATGGATCTCATACTGGGCGTGGGCTTTTGCAGAGTTCCAGGAGTTCGGCCAATACGGGATACAGTTCGTCTTGTTTCCGGTGGAGCAACACTTCCTCCTCCTCCACCGCCATCTCGCTCTTTTTCCAATGCCCGCTGGGCAGCTATATCTAGGGTGCCATATATCTGATCTGCCAGTTCCGGAAAGTGACGTCTGAAAGCCCAGTAGGCACATCTGGAATGGCGGCGAGCCTCGCTGTCCGCATCACCAATGGACTTCTTCAAAGTATCCCTTAGAACAGTGCCATGCCTCTCCAGCGATTTGGTCTGCCACTCCTCGAAGAGCAGCACCATTAGCTCGCAGAGTGTGGATCTTATGTCCTTAGATTTTGACTGATTTAGGGTTTCGGTGTAGATCTTGAGCAGCTTCGGCGCGTGCGTATACTTGATGATGTACTTCAAAGCCAACGTGGAGGCTGAAGCTATGACCTTAGCGCTATTCTGTATAAGATTGATCAGGTGCTCCAAAATGCTCCAGCAAAAGGCATCCAGCTTGTTCCTTAACGTCTTTGACATATAGGCGATGGTGATACATGCCTCGCGGATCACCTGCGAGCGCAACTCTTCCTTGAGGATGTCCACGAAGCTCAGCGACAGCTCCTTCAGCTGCACGGCCACAAATTGCGGCTGGGTGTGATAACTGAGTACAAGCAACGCCCGAATCTTCTTCAAGGCATCCACGCGCTTTTCCCAGTCGGCGTTCTTGTCGCTGATGATCACCAGCACTTGCTTGTAGATGTCGTCCATGTCCTTGGCGTGGAAGATGTTTAACTGTGGGACCGTCTCAAAGCTGGCCTCAAAGGTCTCCATGGTCACGGCGCCGGCATCGCCGCTCACATCGTTCGTACTGGGTTTGGAGCGCAGTGATGACGAGACAGCCGAGTGCAGTGGCCGCTTCATTATCCGGGTGGGTCGCTCCCTAACCCCAATGTTGTCGGCCTCATCCAAGCCCACTCCATTGCCATTGCCATTGGTATTTTTCAGGGCTGAAGGCATCAGAAGGCCTTCCTGTTTGACCTGGTCGAACTTTTGCTCCAACATCGCCAATTTCGATGCGGGCACGTCCTCCATGCGACGTAGGTCTGGTCGCAGGCGATCACCCACATGTTTGTAGATCTCGACCAGCGTCTGAATGGCAGCTTCCCTCACATTGACCGTGGGATCGCCGAGCAGGGCACAAACTGGTGGAATATAGACGCGCACGCTTAACTGCTGGGTGCCATACTCATGAAGCGCATTTACAATTGTCTGCAGGAATTCCTCGCGCACCTTGGCGTTCTTGTGCTTGAAGCAGCTGGTGGCCAGCTTATCGATCAGCGCCTGGGGCGGAAGCACTCGGTGCTCCATGAGGTCGCGCAGCAGAAGTTGGGCCTTCTCGCGGACTGTGTCCCTACTGTCTCCCAACCTATCGATCACATGTGGCAGAACAGTGGCTGTGTATGCATTAAAATCGCTGCCCAGTCGCTTGATAAGCTCCGAGAACGCCTCCAGGGACTTTTGTGCAATCTTGAAGTGGCTGCCCGTCAGCCAGGGCATCAACCCATCGATGAGGAAGCCCATGTCCGTGCAGACAATCGAGTTTGTGTCGTCGCTCAGGAATGTCACCAGATCCTCGGCGAGCTGCACCTTCACGCGCATATCCGCCTTGGGCATCTGCTGGATGAAGCCATCCAGATCGCTGGGCTTGCGGTAGGCCATCGTTCCGGGTGTCTATCCGTCCTCCTTGCAGCGGCAACTGAAATAAACCAGGCGGTTGTGTTAGTGTTGCTGCAGTATTTGCCAAATTAAATTAAAGTTGCATGAGACTGGACCAAATTTTGCTGCAAGGATGCAGGTACCATAAAACTGAAGGGCTATTAAATACGAAATTGATGGCAAAAACAGGAAAGATTTTAGAGCAGTGAAAAAGTGTTATTTGTATTCGAGAGAATGTTTACAAGTGTACGGTATAAAGCGAACTGATATTTTGTGGTAGGAATTCCATGTTAGGATTTCAAAACTACTACATGACTGACTTGACAATGGTTTTTTTGTGTTTAAGACTTAAACATTTTATATTACTAATACTTATGAGGGTTATGTTACCAAAGAAAGTTAATCTGTTATAAAACAACACTTGCTCACTGTAAACTTTCAAGAAACAACAACACCGTATCACAAGAAATAGCTTTTGGGAATTTTATGATATATAAGGCTTACTGGGGTAGTAAAACAATAAGTTTTGTGCATGGTGTTCGTAATAAAAATCTGAGAATAAACTGTATTTCCTAATAAATGAAAGAGGAAATTTAAAGTATCTGCTGTTCAGAAATCAAAAGCAGTGACTAATAGAATGTCCTGTCCTCCCTGACGAAATGTTCCCGCCAAATCCTGCACATGCTCATCGGCCTGTATTTTATCTGTGGTCTGCTCGTGCGCAGTGGAGCCCCAAAAAGCAGCAACTAACTAGTTGGCCAACAACTTGCGTGTGAGGTGAAGTCACAGAGCCAGAATAGCGATAAATCGAGAAGGTAGCAGTAGGGGAGTGGAGTGGAGTGGAAAAGTGGGCTCAAGCCCGAAGAGAGCTGGAAATGTAGGTGAACGGCTGTGCGGGTGGCGATGGGCATGGATACATGGCTACATGGATGTGTGGCTGCATGGATACTTGGATACTTGACTGCCAGAGTTGCCGGAGGGGGTTTCGGGGGCCACGGACACCCAGATGGTGGGGCGTTGTTACGTGCACGAAACGTGAATCATCTCAGGGGCGCCGAGAGCGTGACGAAGTCAGGGGAAAAGTGGGTGGCGGACAGGAAGCAACGTGCTCTGTCTATGGATTTATATATGGAGATTCGGATTTGGATTTGGGATTCGATCAGCAACATTTTTGGCATTGTGCGCTGCCGTCACAAAACCACAATTTGCGTGCGGAGAGTAATATTATTTATACGCACTGAACAACAAAAAGCTGTTTTGGTATAAGAACAATCTGCCAATAACTATAATTATAGATCTTTTTAGAGATCAAAAGGGAACTAAAAAAGGTTCGTTTGAAACAAAGTAGTCGAGGCAAACCTAAGGTCACAGCCATTAATATTAATTAATCAAGTGCTGACACCAGGTCCAAGACTATAATAAAATCATACCGATTTTTTTTTCTGTGCAACAATGGACTGGGCAGAATGAGATAATATATCTAAATTACTAAGCAACAACAGCGACTTGTTGAGAGCGAACGAGAGCGAGAAATCGGAGAGAATCGGTTTCTCATTCCACTAAAAATTAGCATTTGCATACGCAATTTTCTATTTATAAAAAAATATCAACAAAACTTGCTTTCGTAACTATTTTTCAGGGTTTTTCGCGGCGATAAGATATGAACTTGTTAATCAAAGTGCTGGTATTCGAGGTTAAAATGAACCTAAGAAAATGTTTGCCAGCAGCTGGTCGTCCGATATTTTTGGTTAATTAATTGTTGAAGAATTGCCGGCGAAGGCGACGTCATTCAGCGGCTAAATGTCACGAGAAGAGAGAGCAAATGAGAGAAGAAAGAGCGGAAAAGTGTCTTATTTTAACACAATTTTGTTTTTGTATCTTCATGATACGCACTCACATACACACACACACACATACCTATTTGCAAATCCGGCTGCGCTGCTTCTTCCTCTTTTATATTTCTCCTCCTCCTCTTCTTTGCTTTTTGTTTTGGGCTGGGCCGCAGCAGCAGAAAAAAAACTTCAACAACTGCTAGTTGTTGTTGCCCTTTGGCAAGCCGAAGAATTGATTTTCCAGTCGTCGGTTGGAAAAAGCGTTGCCAAACACCGCAAATACGCGTAACGAGTTGACTAAATTTACTTTCGAGCACAGCCAAATTGAACAATTGCCCCGCAAAATAAAAAAATTTAAAGCAGAGATCACAGTTTTGTTTTGTTTGCTCTTATTGTTGTTGTTGTTCGTTGGGCAGCGCAGTCGGTTTCACTTTGTCATTGGTATTTGTTGTTGTTGCTGTTGCTGCCGCTGCTGTCTCTACCGTTATTGTTGGGCTGCAACAACAAACAGTTCACGAAATTCCAACGTCTTCGGGGCAGCGCTAGTTTTTCTCCCTCCCACTCGCTCGCTGTCTCTCTCTTTCCCACTTTCGGGTGACGCGCTTGGGGTCAGGTCAGAGGCTGTGTTTTTGCACTGTGTTTGCGGTCGCCGAGCGTTTGCTGTGCCCGGCAAACATCACATTTTGCAGCGAAAAGGCATCGGTTCGCTGTTTGGCCACGGCTTGCGGGTTTATAACACGGTTTTCAGCTTAATTTCAGCAGCGTTTCGCCACCCCGTTGCGTTGCAAAAAAACTATCGATAGCTTGGATTAAAGCGCCTCGTGAAATCGAAGAGGAAGATAACTATCGATAAAAATACTAGATGCCAAAAATAAATACCATAAAGTACCATTTTACTTTGAAGAAATACCGTTTAAATACTATTCAGCTTAAAAATAATTTCAAGGGTTTCTTTTATTTACAAAATTTTTATTAAATATAATTCGTATTAGTACCATAAATATGAGTTTATTTATATTGCTTTTATTATATAAAACTAAGAAATTATTGTAAAAATACGCTAAAATTAAAAGATTCTTATTCCACGGTGAAGTTTACCAGGCAAACTTTACGTTACTCTATCAAAAAGAGGGACAAATACGAAAAACAAGATTATATTTTATGACCCTTATGAAAATACCAGGCTTTAAGAATACCATAAAGTAGCAGCCTGCGGTTATACTTTCAAGTCGCGTTGCCAACTGATTGAAACCGTTATTTTTAAATGTAAAAACTTATGTGTCGTTACATTGAAGTATTGGATTGGCTTTCTAAAAGTTGATTTTTCTTATGTATGTGTCCAAAATTGTTTAAAAATATAAATTGATTATTATTGAAGTCCAAATACTTTTCAAGGAATTTTTGTTGTCGGCGAGACATAATTCCATTAAAATCCGTAGTGCTAATGGAATTTTATCACTCTCTATATCAACATGAAGGTCTCCATAGTGCGAACTATGTTGTTGTTTCTTGGCGCTTACGGATTCGTCGGATTTTTCAACTCCCACAACGCGTGTTTTAATGGATCTGATGGTGACTAACGTAAACATAACTTTCGATCTTGGCAGCAATATTTATCAATTAGAATATTATATTATATGCCTTATACATATTTACATTACCAAGTACATTTCTCAGTCAAGTCAAATTTTTTTTATATGTTTTATTCACCTTTTTTGAACTTCAAAAAATATGATTAAAGAATATGTTTCTCACAAGCGACTCACTTACATGTTCCAAATTATCGTCAAAACTATTTACATACATGCTGTTTTTCTTCACTTAAATATACAAAATAATAATATTTCATTTACAGATTTTGTAATCGTTAGCAGCAATGCAAATACAGAATGCTTAATTTAGCCTCACTTAACCGGCCCCTTTAACAATAAGTACTTTATACACATACATACATATGTTTCTAAAGATAGCAATTGCTTTGATTGACGGTTTTGTTTAGTAAATAAAAATATTCATTACAATGCATATTAATTGCAATTGACGCCAGCTGGCTTCCAAGTTAGTTGCCAAGTGGAGCGCGCACGTGTCGGTCATCGGCATATGGCACAATATCAATATCTGTAACCATAAGCCCGCTGCGTTATCATATGGCAGAATAAATGCATATATAAACATTTTGAACACCTCTCGAATTGACTACCAATTAAAGAAATTTATTGTGCATGCCTCGGCAGATGCCGATGGGAATTTTCTAGACTAGACTAGCTTAATTAAGGTTCTATCAGTCTTTGTTGACCTGATGGACGGCCTGAGCGCGTCCGGATGGATCCTCCGGACAGCCCCAATCGAGGCGTGGTACCCATCGAGTTACGGTTCGAGCGGCTGATTCTCCGGGAAATTGTTCGGCAAAAATGCAGCGATAATAGAAGGCCTCCTTGGTGGTGGGCGTGTTGAAGGGGAACCGCAGGGCGGCTCCAGCGAACTCCTCATCGCTAACGTGGCTGGTGGCCACTCGGCGGATGCTGTCGATCCAATCGTAGCCCACTCCGTCGGAGAACTGCTCCTTCTGCCGCCACAGGACATCGTCGGGCAGATAGTTATCCGCAAAGGCGGCTCGCAGGATGTACTTCTCCAATCGCTTTTGCTGCTCTCCCCCAAATTGGTTAAGAGGTCCAGGTATCTTGTCCTCCGGCCGAATCTGCATTACATGGTTAACGAACCCAGTGTCCAGAAAGGGCACTCGCAGCTCCACTCCCTTGGCCATGGCCACTTTGTTGGCCCTCAAACAGTCGGATAAATGCAGCTGCCGCACTCTTTTCACCAGCTCCTCGTGGAAATCCTGGTAGTTGGGAGCCTTGTGGAAGTACAAGTACCCACCGAAGATCTCATCCGCTCCCTCGCCGGACAGGATCATCTTAATACCCGTGCTCTTGATATATCTGGCCAGCAGCAGCATGGGTAAACTGCATCTCACGGTGGTGACATCGTACGTCTCCAGGTGGTAAACTATATCCCGAATGCCATCCAGAGCCTCATCGATCTGGAAGATGATCTCCTTGTGGTCGCTGTCTATGTACTTGGCCACATGTCTGGCAGCCTGAAAGTCGGGGGCATCCTTCAGGCCCACCGAGAAGGTCTTCAACCGGTAGTTGGGATCCCTTTCCCGCATTATCTTGGTGGCAATGGAGGCTATGAGACTGGAATCCACTCCGCCGGATAGAAGAGCGCCCAGGTGGACATCGCATTGCAGATGACTGCGCACAGCCGACTCCAAGTTGGCCCGGAGCAAGGCTAAATCGCAGGTTTGGGTGGGCCCTTCCTTGATCCAGGGCTGCTCGAACCGCCAGCAGGTTTTCAGCTCACCAACTTTACCAAAGCGAGCCTCGCCCGGCGTAAAGGTCTCCACCTTTGAGCAAGTATCAAGGCACTTCATCTCGGAGGCCACCCAAAGGTTGCCCGCCGCATCCTCACCCACGTACATGGGTATTATACCAAAGGGATCTCGGGCCAGAAGGACCTCCTTGGTCCTGCGATCGTACAAGGCGAAGGCAAACATTCCGGTGATGAACTGCAGCAGATGCTTGCCATAATCCTTGTACAGTTCCAGTATCACATGGCAATCGCTTTTGGGTTTGTAAGTGCCACGTTTTTTCGCAATCTGTGCCGAAAGTTCCAGATAGTTGTAGATCTCTCCGTTGGCCACCAGGACAAGGTTGCCATCCTCTGAAACGAAGGGTTGATCGCCCATTTCCACGCCCACAATCCGGAGGCGTTCGTGGACCATGGCCACTCCTTCCGAGGGAATCACGTAGACCCCGGTGGAATCCGGACCACGATGCCGCTGTTTTCCACTTTGCCGATAGGCCAGTTCCCTTAAACTGTGCTTGCTGCCGTGGAGAACTTGCGGGGGAATCGGTTCTCCATCTCTCGAAAATATCGAAAATATTCCGCACATTATTGGTTATTTTGTATTTATTTATTTTTAAATATAAGTTCAAGCAAGGTCCGCCGTTTGCAAAGTCCGAAAACTGAATGAACCTATTTACCCCGGGGCGCTCTTATTTATTGCCAAAGCTCTCTGGCTCTGGTACTCTTTATATGGTATATCCCTCGGCATTTCTCGTATTATTCTCTCAACTAATCAGTATGCCTTCACGTGCTTCCAGTTTCCTCACCGGTGTTCTAGAATCTGGCTACTCTTAAAACAAAAACTGGAGAGCCACATTTGTTCCTAAACCCAAAATTTTCAAAAATTAACTATAAAATATTATCTATTATTTATTTACCTAGGCTTAACAAAAGTAGAACAGCTGTCAGTGAGTAAAAACTTGATAAGAAATATGCCGGGTAGTCTGTTTACTATTTACCATGCTCTTTTGTATGCTCTCTGGATACTCTCCGTATCACAGCTGATTTTTCTTTATCAACGATTTCGTCATCCAATTTACCCTTATTAAGGGTACATCCATTTAACAAGAATGTATGGATTACCCTTTGTTAGAACCATTTAATCTAGTAATTTATTTAACAAATTTCGTTAAATAAATACCTCATTGTAATTTTTCATTAAAAATAATTTGGTGTTCAGTCTTAATAAATTGATAGAAATAGATGGAAACATATAAATAACAGTAATAATAATAATATTTTTAAAAAGATTTAAACGAGTTAAAATACACACCTGAAAAAAAATTTATATCCATAAGTATTATAGTTAATAAGTGCACCAATAAACTGTTTTTAAAAATGTCCAACTTGTGTACTTCTCTCATGGTTACTCGATTTCGGGTGAATGCCAGGGGTATATAAAAAGAGTGAACAAAAATGAGTGTTAAAATCAACAACAGAGAGGGAGACCGGTTTATTTTATTTCAGTCTCTGTGGCAGTTTTGCTCTTTTGCGCTATGATTATGTTAATAATACATGAACGTATGTGGCATATACATATATGTTCAAATAATTTTAACAAAATAATATGGAGAAAGTAGTATTTTAAAAAGATATATTAAAGGTTCCAGCCTTATGGGATTTACCATTAAAACATTCCTTATCTCCATTTTATAACTTAATCAATAGGAGATTATTTTTTAGAAACACTGAGAAATGAACCAATACTTTTTGTTGGCTTAATATGTTTAGTTCTAATTAAATAAACTAATTAGTTGAGCAATGGTTTATATTTGGGTAAACATTTAAGTAAATATAAGGCTGTACAAAACTCAAATAATAGGTGATTTTGGAAGTTATAAAACATTTTAAAATTTGTGAAGTATTTCAGTAAAGGGTTTAAATTAAACAATTTAATCCATGATATACAAAATATCTGAGTATTTGATATCCGTTGCAATAACATCTCAGGAGATGTTATAAAAAGCTCTGTAATCTCTTGACCACCCGTACATGATGTTATCGAAAAGCTCTCCCCAACAGCCATGTTGGCTAACATGGCGCCAAGCTAACAGGTGGTTGCCAGTGGTCCACGTCGCCCGACTTTCGACTTCGACTCCGGCCCATGCGATAAATATGTCAAGTGGCCGCAGATAAACAGAAATCTCCCGTGTTTAATTATGCAGACGTTTTAATTACGCATCTAACACTGACTGACGAATTTGCACAGTGATGTCATACCAAATAGTGCGAGCCTCGGCAGACATAACCCGAGATTTACGACCCGCGGGGCCCGAGATGCGCTCCTGGGTTTCTGGCGTGCGCGCTTGTTGCTTCCAAGTCGTTTGGTCGGCGACGAGCGGCCTTTCAATTCAGTTGCCGATGGAACGCGACACTGTGCGGCAGGAAGTTGCGTATAC